GTAGAACTGTCTTGACGTTCGTATTGAAGATTCTCACTTTGATATTGGTTGAAAGTTGTTTTGAGTTCCATATATTGTTTAATTGTAGGAATGCGGCCCTTGCTTTGCCAATCGTCGCCTTTACGTCTGTATCTGAACCTCCTTGTTTATCGATGATGCTTCCCAGGTATGTGAAGGATTCCACGTCTTCCAGAGTTTTGCCATCAAGAGTGATTGGATTGTTGTTCTCCGTTTTGGATTTGGGGGCCTTGGTTTTCCCCTTGTGTATGTTGGGGCCTACTGATGCAGAGACTGCTGCTACACTGGCTGTCTTTACCTGCATTTGCTCGTATGTATGCGATAGGAGGGCTAGGTCATCTGCGAAGTCCAAATCGTCTAATTGGTTTTGAGCTGCCCATTTTACGCCGTATTTTCCCTCAGATGTCAGTATAGTGAATCAAATTTCTCTCGCTTAATTATGCGCACAATATGTTATCTTAACACCATGTCTCTTAGACAGTCAGTCAGCTACAACTTAGGATTAGGCACATATGTGCATCGGTCCAAGTTTCCATACCGCATTAGCACAACAGGATCAACACCGGATTCATATAAGTAGTTAATTTAGTGGTGGTAATATATAGAAGAAAGATTGCATATAAGGATATAGTACAGGAAGCAAGAACTAGTTCGTAGAAAGAAAGTTGTGAAGCGATCTTAATCTAATAGTTTAAGGGAAGACAAAGAGTGTATACACCTAAGCCATTGTGATCGATTCTGAGCCATGTCACTCACAGTCTCCAACAATTGGCTACAATATTCACGCGGTCTCCAACCAAGTGGTCTGCATCTACCAACATGGCTCAGACCACAAGTTGGTGACTTCAAGCACTGATGCCACGTTCTCGTTTGATCGACCCTAACTTTCTTCCAACCATCCCCTACACTAGTCAGAATTGGGTGTCGTGGTAATCGGTGTTCAGGCATACACAACACGCGGCCCAACTATCTCAGTCGACAAAGATTCACAACCTCATCAAATGATTTACCATCATTCCTTAATACTCTGCGTCTAACCTCACTATTACTTACCCGGTGATCTCAGCAGATGCGAGCAATATTTCCAAGACATCTGTGGCCAAATACTAGTAACTTACGAATATCTTCTACTCTTAGTGGTCACGTTTAGCAGCCACAAAGTAAAACAGAGTGAACTGCCGCGCAGTATACTCGTCCCTTAATTGGTAGGTGAATATCTCACCTTTGCCATAGGTGACATAAGTTGACAAAAGCCAAACGAGCTTCCTACACACTAATGCAAATACCTACTTTAAACGTTGTTAACGTTGATTGGATGACCTATTCAGTATATAGTGAACCGGAGAACCATGTACCTATTGGTATCCGATAATTTTGATGTTCGATTATGTTTCCTTGGAAAAGCTTGGACCAGATTGCCGAGCAAAATGTTAGATTTACTTCAAATTCGTTCGCTTAGATTCTACAAATACATTCTTCCTCTTCAATGCCTCACATCAACTCGGCGCCCAATACTGTGAAACCATTCGAACAAATTTAGTCGAAAGTCCTTATATATCATAACTATATTGTTTACAGTTGCTGGAGTCTAGTCAACTATTGGATGTTGCTGTGGTTTTGACAAATCTTCCGTCCTCAGCTTACCTAATATCCCAATTTGTATCGGCTGCCATTTAAGACAGCCGTTTTATTAATTGACTGAATTTGGTTTAGTTGTATGATTCCATTCTAGGTGGAATATACACTTAATTTGTTAACTGTTATATAAGTATATTGTTTTGAACAGGAAGCAGCTCACGTTGGAGCTACTCAGTCAAGAATAACCCTACCCTTATTGAGTTAAAACATTATTATTGTGTTGACGAGATTCTCTTTATTTCCCCCCAAGTTATTGCTACCGATCATCAATGTTTTGTGGAATTATTGTCCACTTTGATATTAGTACGTTTATCTTCACCACTATAGTGATAGAACTAATCCCAAAATTGTAGATTTATCATGATGTGACTACCTTACCTTTGAAATTTTGCGTGGAATTCACATTTTGTCTGTACTGACTCATTCTATCATGATAATCAGCAATACGATCGTTCGCACTTCTAATGAACACATTTAAGCAGGGAATAAAATAAAACATTTGATATAAGAAGGAATACGTTAAATAGTGACCACACCTGTCTGGCCGAGATATTACATCTCGATTTTGTTTACATGTCTACCGTTTACAACGCTCTTTATGTATTATACATTGAATGTAAATCTTCTGAGTAATGATATGTTCAGGTTCAAAGATCTTGTGGTTAGGAACCAATAACACTACACTATCATCCAACCAGAACCAATGTAACGTTGGTTTGAGAACAAAAACAGTGAGAATAATAGGAATCCTCTGGTATCGATAAACTGAAAGATAAACTAAAAGGGAAGCAACAGAAACTGATCGGGAAATACATATGATAATTTCAAAGTGTTTGGATTTGAAAATCGTGAAGTTGAGAACCAACAGCACTACAGTTTAATTACTTACTGTTTGCAATTTATCTTGTAAGATTGTTATTGTAACAGGAACTGCATAAGCATAAGTATACATTGCCTTATGCAACTTCCCACGTTTACATGCAGATTTCTTCGTACATAATATACATTTTTGAGTTACTCAACTGGGTTTCGTGTCTTTTGTGTTATCTGAAATTCATTATTTTATAGTTCTGGATTAATAGAATTATTGTGTTTCAGTCAAAAATCAGAAATACTTATATGACTTAAGGTTCATCAGCGCAGTCAATTTAATTCTTCATTTATTGGCGATCATTGGGACTTTATATACCGTCAGAAATTTCTATGTCTATTCTATTTGGGTCAATATTTTGGTCCCGTGAATAAACAGAATTCTGAATTAAGCTGCATATATATATATGACACTGAAAAAATATGGTGTAATTCCGTTATTAACTGGACAGCTATTCGGAAATAATTGCGACACATTTGCAACGGGATTTACAGTACATGCAGAAGGAAGTGGCTCACTAGACTGTGAATGAGGGTAAGGTACCGAACTTCCAAGTGTTGGTTGTCTTCGTAGAAAAAAGAGCAAAGGTCATCTAGGTCTGGGTTAGTATGCCTGCACGCAACTAGAAGAATGACATAAAGGGCCAATTAGGTCAGCTTTATTGAAGGACGCAGCCCAGGGTAGTTAGTCATAGGACACACAACACAGCTAAGTCTGTATGCAATGGATTTTTTAAACTTGGTCACAAAGCAAGATATTGTGTGAAGTTGTTGAAGATGAATGCTGAATTAAAATAACGCTGAATGCCAGCCAAACCAACAATCATGGTGGAGCGATCTTAATATTAGAAGATTGATTACAAGATGTTGAGTCATCAGCCGAGTTTTACTAAGGCAAAGGAAAACCATCATGGACTGATCAGTCCAACCCATTGAGCTGATTTACGCCGTCTATCACCGTAAATATCAGTTAGTTCCATCCATTCAGAAGAGGAAGGATCAAACTTTCCAAAAGTAACAAACGTTTGTTGGGCCAGTGAAATATCACTGAGCTCAAGCCAGATCATCAGGCAGTCGGGTCACTGAATGTCGAACGGTTCATTGGTCTCTGTCAAGGTCAAGGACAATCAACGCCATGGACTAGTCCGTGCGGTGATGGCCTCAACTTCTCCCTCGTTCCTACTTGTAGTAATACGTTTCGTAACAACATCCTTTGTGTTATACGGTTTTCAAAGCAACCATAGTACCTTGATACAATCAAGGAGTAATCCGTGTGAGGTGCTGACTGCGAGGTTTGACTTTGAGGTTTGCTCTTGGTCACAACATTTCTACCTAACTCGGTTAGATTCTTTAATCATTCAACATAGATAATCTATGTTAGTGATCTACATGTTTCTAACAAACAAGGAACCTGGTTTGTATCTAATAGATCTAGATATTTCTACCGATCAAACAGTTACAATAAAAAAGCGCGGTCAGTCAATTTGTTAGCCCTCGAAGCCTAATGATAGAATAAAATGAAGACAGTCAGTGAGAAGTTATATAATATCAAGTAAAAGGATCAGTAATCTCAATTTATATGCCAGCAGAGTGACAATTGTCATACGAGAAATCAAAAAGCTTACAAATAAAGGTACCACACCTTACGTATGAGGGCAAGTATGACTTTTGTACTGATGGATAATTCTCCTGTACATTAATGTGCATCTAACTGATATTGCAAATAAAATATTATCGATTATACTACAATTTTTCTCATTATCTATTTGCGACGATTAAATATATTGAGTTCGACTGCTTCAGATTATCACAGTAAACCAAAGTGTTAATATTACATGAAATACAATATGAATTCAACAAAAAATACGAAAACGTTTCATAGCAAGAAAAACATTTAAATATTCACAGGAAAAAACACATATTGAGATATTCTTTTACATATTCTCGCAGAACCATACAAAATGAATCCTACACCTGAGTCTAAAATCCCTCTATGTACCACAGTATCACCCTAGATACATTCCGTAATAACTACCCAAGATGACTAGACAAAGTCGACAAGGTTTCTAGGACATCGAATTCAACTACAGTGGATGGGAAGTACTTTCTGGGAAATACAGATGAGCGAATCTATGACACTAGTCGTCTCAACATACGTATATGTGTAAGATCAGGCATTTATTGCTATCAAAATCTCAATGGTTCAATGATTATCATTTCTTGTCCCCTGAAAGACTTGTGGTTATTCATAGCACATAACCGCCCTTCTCTCTCGGAAGCTGTTTCGTGGAACGGCAATTTTGTAGTCATTCGAATTCAAATCAAATTGAATACAAACTATGGTCTATAAAAATGCATAAGGATATATAAATAGTGATTGCATCATTTGAGTTTTAAGATGGCTTGTCCTTTTGCTGTTTAACTGCACTAAGTTGTTGGCACGAACATACCTGTACGGTGGAAATAGCGCTCAAGTTGTTTCTGAGTTTGACGCAGACCAGACTATTGTCTGATTTTATTCACGTGGATATGTTCTTTTTATTTCACGGTATCAAAGAGTGAATTTTCCAGAGGGGAAAATCAAGTTCTTCATGAACTGAACTCACTAGACGGTATACGGAACTGTATTTTGTCACTTCTAGCCGCGTTATTCAATTTGGGGATATAATTCTCTGTGCTGTCACTCATCGTTCTTCCATTTGAGTTACTAAGTGGTTGCTGTTTGTCTATTAATTTAGGTTCCTTCCCATTTCTAATGAACGATCCTAGTATATCCCACACCTCGAGCTTCGAGCGCTAGCGCCCCAGCTGGGGCAAGATTGACTAATTTCGGTGGAACCTCTAAAGTTCCTTTAAGGAATTTCGGGAAAATGCAACTAATGAACCTAGAATCCGCCCAAAATTTTTGGAGTTGTGATTTTCCCTTAATGAGGCGTCACTGCATTGCAAAGTTCACAAAAGTCAAGTATATTTAGCTTGAGAAATTATGAAATTCCGAAGAATTTATCAGTTAGGAATTGTGGACGCATAATAAAAGTCAATTATCGGTTCATAAAAGTTTTCAGGGTGAGGCTATAATTTATGGACGACCTTTGGGCGACGCTAAAATAGCCTTGAGGATGTCCACCTACTGACTATGGCTCAATAACGGTTTTAAACCAGTCTGAAGGATAAGGATTGTAATTTGCAGTTGGTGGTTAGGGATAGTGATTAGATTGAGGGTTTTCACCACGAACTGACATCAGTTAAAATGTTAAGACGCTATTTAGCCAAATGTATAGCTTCGCGCCGAAATCCAAGACCTGTTATCGTAAATCGGATTGGTTCGTCCATAAATTATAGTCTCGCCGTTTTCAGTTATGCAGTTCTACTGTTGTAGATTTTACAGAACTAGTGATTTTCTTTCTATAGTCATGAACAGTCCACTGGGAATTATTTGCCTGGTCGATTTGTCGTAACACTGTCAGGACTGGTCTGCACCATCACCCAGATTGGCTATACATCATGAATGAGCGTTAGATACGCCATGTTTCTTAGGTCTCACCAGTCCTGGTAAGGGATTGGTTTCCGATCAAATATCAAGGGGTTTACACGGCAGGAATATGGCTGTGGAACATGGTCGACAAGAGTTAAACGCAGACGTAGCGTTCCTGCTTCTCATGTTGAGCGCCTCGAAAACACTGTTCAGGTGTTACAGGACGACCAGGTAAGCAACGCTGAGGTCATACGCAGGGTACTAGGGAAGATGGAAAATCACCTGATGAGGCCATGTATGTTCACCGGTTGAGATGTTGCCGGCATGTGTTACGTGTAACCAACCAATACCGACCTCGTCATGCAATTTTGGCAAACTTAGAAAAACACCAGGAACAGCTAAACAATGGTCTGAGGTCAGTTCACCATGTCTCTGACTGTTGGTCTGAGCTATGTTTGTAGACCACCTAGTTGGCATCCGCACAATAATGCCAAACACTGGTTATAGATGATGAGTGATATGGTTCAGACGCAGGTGTTGTATGCTAGTGTTTCTCCACACACCTCTTCACCGATTTTTTTAAAACCACAATCTCAATGTTTATTATGACTAGACCATTGAGGAAAAGACAAAGTAGGGCTACAAGACTGTGTGCATAGAAATAGCGATATGTTTTAGAATCCTCAGCCATAAGTATTCCTATTATTTAGTGAATTAGTAATGGTGTGGTTTGCTTTAAAGTCCGCATTTTACAAAAAGCATTTTAATTAACGAACTGTGAATCAGTTCGTCCTGGTTTATTTCACGCTGTGAAATGTGACCATTAACGGTAGAGGATACTCGTAAGTTACTAGTACTTGATCACAGATGTCTTGGAAACATTGCTCGAATCACCAGGTAAGTTATAGTGAGGCTAGACGCAGAGAATGATGGTAGGTCAGTTGATGAGGCTGTGAATCTTCATTGACTGAGATGATCGGGCCACGTATTACGCATGTTCAATCACCGATTACCACGGTACGCAATGCTGACCAGTGTCGGGTGCGGACGGAACAAAGTTAAGGGCGGCTAAACCGAAACGTGGCATCAGTCTTTGAAGTCACTAACTTCTGATCTGAGCCATGTTGGTAGATGCAGATTACTTGGTCGGGGTCCGCGCGACAATCGTAAGTAGTATATATATATAAGCATTGAAGTTACTGCTTTCATGAATTTGGTGTTCATCTTGTTGTGCTAATGAGGTATGGCAACTTGGACTGATGTATATATGTGCCTGGTCCTACCAACTGACCGTTATGAGCATTATCCTTTTTCACCGATTCGGAATCATTTTCCCGCTAGTTATATCTTGGGTGAAAATATAAGTCTTATTATGAGGCTCTTTATGTGATGTAATAGAAAGTCATTTGCTTTTAAATGAGCCTGAAATTCGTTCTCTGGACTCCAGTCGCTTTGGTTCTACACTACAGTGATACCTGTTATCTCCTGTCTTTTGAGATTGCTGTCTTGGCTGAATGAGTTACTGGTTCCGAAATTATTTTTCCCGTCATGTATTTATCGTAAAGTCACCAATTACAAACTTTTAGAAGCTTGAGGCTCGGTCTTGTGTTTGACATTCAACCGTTTCCATTTTGATACTGTTTCGAGTCGTTTAATAGCTCCTCCGTAGCTCGCGCATTTTACTATTGCTATCATCAACCATCTTGTTACTTGGCATTCTCATTTCCTCATTGTTATGTCGGTAATCGTCTTAATATTATGCAAATGGGATTTATGGAGAGAAGAATGGACATACACAGATGTACTTAAATATACGTACAGACCCCTGTATATTCTCCCTTTAACGCGAAAGATATGGAAACCGAGGGATTCCTATACGTGTTATGGAGTCATCAACTTACACTAAGTAACTTTTTTTCCACGTTTCTCACTCCTCCCTTCTCTAAAGTAAACTATCACCATCAAATGTGCGCAAACGTTTCATTAAAGTCTACCTTACTAAAGAGCTTGCACTTTGCTTGATTTAACGTGCATTCAAGTCTATGAAATTGAACTGTTTGTTGACTGTGTATTCAGATTCATTCAGCTAAGTCATAAATCCAGCATTATGTTGTTTATATATCCGTACATAGAAATATATCGAATTGACGTTATGTTTACTGTCGACATGCCTTATCCCAGAAATATCTTAGCTATAGTGGCGTTTTCTTTGTGAAATATTTTGTTTGATATAAATTTAGAAAACGGACTAAGCTGGATAAAGGCTTAGCAATTTATTGGTTAGTCCTTTCATGTAACGTCCACTAGGATTAAAGGTTCACAAACAGAATGATCAAAAGGTAAGGTTTTCAAGCGAAAGAACAGTGATTTCATTTGCTTTATAATCACTGTTTTTGCTTGAGATAAGTCCTGAGGAATATAGCATAAGTTTAAGTGAATCAAGCATTTGTAAAAGGAAAGATAACTGTCCAAAAGTGTTTTTTGGGTATATTCAAATAACTGTGGGGAATAATGAGTTGTTCGCATCAGATGATGAAAAACGTTGTTCTTAGCAGTTACTTCTTCAAACTTATTAATAAAATCATTTCCGTTGAAACTGATAATTGTAACGTTTCATCTAGAAAGTAATATGCGGAGATCTGCAGCACCAAGTCGTACTAGTCAGTCTCAAGATCTGTCGATAAATTCCAACCTCGTAAAGACGGCTGAGTACAAGTCAGTTTCACACTGTTCCTCAAGTCCTAAAATGAACATTACGCCTACAAATTTTAATTTATCTCATGCTATGAAATGTTCCAGGTATTTCGAGGCTGTATATGCTAAAGCATCGACTAAAAAGGTATGGCGAATATCGTTTACCAGTTTTGCTTGCATTTTAGCATAAAAAATGGGAAGGGGATGGTAAGCAGTCATCAGTCTTGTTTATCTCTACGTAATTTTTAGGTTTTGTAGAGGTTGAAGGTCGAATCATAAAGCTTATCAATGAAGATTTGAAAGTGTAAGTGCTACTTTTTTAATGAAGGTAAATTTACCGGTTATTTTCCAACTATAGAATAGCATCTGCTTCTGGTCATAAATTAGCTTTTTTAAATGAAATTGATATTGGTTCAGTTGTTCATATTGGGTCTTATGAAGCAGAGCTTATTTCACTGATAGAGAAGCCACAGTTAATTAATCTTTCCTCAAAATCAAATGATGGCACTGAGGCGTTACATGCACCGGGTAACTAGTGTATTGTATTGTATTTATTTTGTCCCTATTTCCAGCAAAAATTTCGACAAGCAAACCAAGCACAAATCTCAGTTTCTCACCAAAGGTACCGTTTACATAATATCTATTTCCGGAATAATTTTTATTTGAGTCCATTTTAACCTCAATCCTTTAATCTCTTAAAACCTTTTAAGGATAATAGTCTTTCGTATTTGATACCCTTAAGATCAACCTAGGAGACTAATAAATGATAACACTGACGTTTCGTTCTAAAATACAGAAGTTGAAGGTACATCTGCAGTTGTATAAACTAATTTTCTGCCTTAAAACCTTAATTTGACGGATGGAGTTGCTGAGATCATCTAAACAAGGAAAATAACTTCAAGATATTACAAGAGAATTATTCGATAAACTTAAATACTAAGAGACATTGACATACGTTTACAAAGTGTTATGTTGTCTGGGATTGCATGTGGGCATTAGTTACTCACTAGTCATTTCTTTGTGTAAGTTCTTGTGACAGATTGCCGTATACTTACGTCTATCCGTTGATAAATCGTACTGTCCCATTTCAATTTAGATTTTCAAACAAAACAGAAAAACCGGTCGGATTCTGAATGGCATCTAGAATGAATGAGTCAAATGCTAATTTTCATAATAAACACATTTCAAAGTGGTTTGTTTTCCTGTTTTTGCTGCATCAAATTTGTTTCATTCCACCGTCTAGTTTCAGTCGTTAAGACAATTTACCTGCTCTGTTTAAGGGAATATTGAATTAGAAAATAATTTGAGCCCGATAAACTTGAAGAAAAATATTTGGGGCAAAGATTGGTCGACTTTCATCATAAATATTATCGTTTCTTATCAAGTTTCATTTCTAATTACTGGAAACTAGTGTATTAATTATGATTGTTCTCATATTTACATAGTATTATTATCACAGGAAAAAGCCTGGTATGATAGGAGATCGAGAAATTTCCCACAAAATGTGAGCTAACAATATTGTAGTGAAAAGGACGTGAAAACTTAAAACTAGTCGGTAAAGAAATAAATGTAACAAAATAAATGTTCATTAAACAATACTGATATATTCTTAACGCAGCAAAGTTATATTTCACCTCATATAAATGCTTCCTCAATAACATTGCCTCTAAACGAATTGAGGGCAGCCTTGATGTATAGACAGATAATTTTCGACATAGAATACATATGATAGTTTTCAAGGAATTGGCAGAAGTTGAATATTTGACCGACCAATCTATACCTAAACTAAGACCTGTTTGTAGAGTATTGCAGAAATGAATATTCTAGACACGACTGATAAATTTTAAACTGATGATTATTACATGCATTTGTAAGCTCTTTAAAAATGAATACAACAGCAGCAAACCGTGACTAGCACATAGCAGAGATGTGGATGTTTGTGAGTATTTAATGAACATAATATTGACTAGTGTCTGGTGATCAGTTTTTTAAATATACTAGTTCTGGATGATAAGGACTAGTTATCTCTTTTTTAGTAATGCAATTAAATTGTACGATTCTCACTTTGGCTTTGTGTCTTACACATGTCTTACACATAATTAATTTTCTAGCATTGATTTATAAATTGCATGTATATTTCCATATTATATCTCACGTTGTGTACAACATAACCTCGATTTTGGTGTCTTGTAGACGAATTCCAAATCAAAACTGAATGAGTCCTGGGGTTCTTCAAACCATCTGGTTATGCCCAAGCCTCCTGCTAACTGCATTGTAAGAGTAGTAACTTAATTCTAAACCTCGTAATTTATTCACTTTTCTACTTATGACCGATCAAATGCAGGTCTTCATAATGTCAAACTATTATCTAATGTCAAATGTTTTCAAGATTTTGATATAATTTAGTCTGATGGAAATTTAGGTATATGACTTATTATTTGTTTATTGAATTCTCAGTACATTTCGGATTCATTTAGTATTGGTTGTTTAAATCTTCCGATTGATGTTTAGGACTGAAATTGATCAATCTCTCATTGGCTGAATTAAATGAATTAAAACTTCACCCCATTGCACAAGGTAGTGGCTATCTGAACTCAGTAGCTAAATGGATAACGCGATGGTGTTTGTAGAAAACGGTACTGGGTTCGAGTCTCCGTAGTGAACATTAACTTTGAGATACATGTACACCCAGCTAAGTCCCAAACAGGACGAAACGTGCGTCCTAGATTCCAGTGCTAGCCACCATCCATCTCTGCTTATAATTTCCTATCAGGTTTTGATCATTTTAACACAAGATTACTGCCTATTAAATCCATTCTTTTGAATAATAATGATGACAAGTATAATTCTCGTATTTGAAGTCAGACGAATAATGATACTTATCGACTGACTTTAAGCCTCGAAGCCCCTTGAAAGTCGTAGCTCAGTAAAAAAGTCTCTGTTGCGTCTGTTTACCGTCGCTACCAAGCCTCCAATCGATTGAAGCTAGGTTGGGTACCGGCTTAGTGGTTTAAATGTTAAAAGCTTGGCACCAGAACTTAGTGTCATGCGTTCGATCTCCAGTGGTGGTCTCGTGGATGAACCCTGCTTAGGAGTTATATACTAGGAGGAAATAGCTATCCGATCTTTCTTTGTTTTTAATAGCTGTCTAACTAAGATTAGTTCTTTTTGTAAATTATGAACAGTAGATGTTGAAATTCATTAAAATATATTAATAAAATTGATAACTGTCGCTTGATTTTGTTGTTAATTGTTCAAAGTGGCTAAAAAGAAACTTAGTTTCATTGCACTGTTAAAAAAAGTTGTTAATTCGATTCCATATCATGATCAGAAAGCCAGACAAATAATTGAGATACCTTTATACATACATTGCTCAATTGTATTTCGGTAAGAAGAGTATGAATATCATTTAATCAACTCGTTCTTTTTTGTATAGACTTTTCAAAGGTTGATCTCTCGTTAGTTTACTTAGTCTAAATGATTAAATTAATTGTTTGACATGGGTGCCTTTTAAGTTGTGTTTGTAGTGATATTAGACTCCTTAATGACATATATATTTGCCGAGCGTTTGACGTCGTCCACATCCCTTGCAACAAATCGCAACAAATATCCATGTGAACTCTAAGGTCATGACCAAATATCATGCACAGGTTATCAGTAGCGAATAAAAAAATAATTCTATTACATAAAATCACAACAGCTAATATCAGTAGACTCTTTAAACTATAGAATAAATACTGATCGTAAGTAAAATCTTTCTAATAAGCGTCATGTATCCTCATACATCCTACATTAGTGAAGTTTAAGATTAAAGTGGTTGTTTGTGAACTACAGCCCTATTAGTCAGTATATATATATATATCCACTAATATGAGTAAATGTATTGAACAGAGCAGCCAATAAACCAGTTGTTATATTAGCAGTAAAGACAGTGTCTATACAAAAAGTTTACTTTCATTGTTACTAATAGAGATTTAATATTCCCAGGTTCAGTGTTAATCGTTGACTTAGTAGTCTACTTTATCCAGAGATTAATTCGTCGTTTTATTTAAAAAATAATTTTAGTGGTCTCAGAATCCCGACAACCTTCCTATTGTGGATGTAGTTTTAGAGTCGAAGTTTGCTTCACGTCTACAGCCACATCAATGTGAAGGTATTATTTTCTTGTATAAATGTTTAATGGGATTTCAACCGTATGTTGCTTTAAATGAATCTGATGCACAAATTACTTATGGATGCATTTTAGCGTGAGTTTTAACTTTTTTGGTCTAAGTTTTGACCCCACGACAAAGACAAGCTTTATTTGTATTTTTGTACTGACATAAACATTTGTCGATCTTGTTCCATGCAGGAAAAATAACCTGTATTAGAGTATTAACATACTGTGCAGATCCATCATATTCTTGATAAATATTTCATACTAACTTAATCCCCTCAATGAAATATGTGTTCACTCATTATCCCCATAAAATTGGGATTGATAGAGTTCCTCAAGTATACATTGGTAAGCAAAAACCATAATAACAGGCAATACCCGTTGCGAAATTCGTATCTAGTGTTGCTCACCATCTGCATAAATACTCTCACAGCGTGTGAATTCATAAAAGTGACACAACTCTCAGCGAAAATATCAACAATCACTTTAATGGTCCATCAAATTGTTTTCAAACCCATAGAACTACGTATTTTGAATTTTAACTATTGTTACTTAATATCAATATTGCATACACATAACAATCTCATCGTAAAAGTTATAAATGGGAACTTAACATTGTAGTACAATAAATCAATCCGCATAATTAGCCTCAACATAAAAAGTATAGTACCGTTTTATTGTACACAAATCAATGAGTGATTATTACTGATTTATATCTTTATTATTGCCTTATTCTATTAAGATTTTTTGGTCTGTAAGGTACTGCTCTACTGTATTTATAACACAGAATACATTTGGTAGTGTTTAATTAACTTGTATTAGACTATGTGAACGTATTTTCTTAACATTCTTAAGGCTATATTTATCCTGCTGTGCGCTACTTCTATCTTGACTAAAACACATTACCTTCGTTTTTATATTCATTATTTAAATTAGAAGGTAACGTCATTCGTAATAAGTTTTTGTTAATTTATTAGGGATGAAATGGGTCTTGGTAAGACAGTTCAAGCTATTGCCACCATTTGGCTATTAATTAGACAAGGACCGTACGGAGGTAGACCGGTTATTCAACGTTGCCTTATTGTAACTCCAGGTACACTTGTTCAGGTAATTGGTCTATTTTTTTTAATACAACTTAATCTTACTAATTTTTTTTGGCTTTTATCATATATTCTGCCTTTCCTCTCTTATTTACATCATGTTAGAATTGGCAAAAGGAATTCTCCAAATGGTTAGGTCGTGAACAGTTACCCGTGTATTGTGTAGATCAAAATCATTCTGTTAAAGTGAGTTTTTGCTTGATTATGTCCGACTATTCTGTTTTCATTATTTGTAGAATAATTTGATAATTATTGAGAATCATGTAAACAGTATATGTAGAGCCAGTTGCTTAGCGGTTAAACAATCGGACTTTCAATAACTTATTTACATGTTTGATCCTTACTCTATCTACTTCGATTTGAGCAGCTGAGCAATATAATTAACACTCATGCTTAGTATGGTTCAAAAATCGAACACATGAACTGTAAATAAATTACTTAAACAGTTTGTATCTATATTTTTAATTTGATAACTTTGGTCTCTTTCTGGTCCTAAAGTCTCACGTTATGACAACGGGCCATTTTGTTTATATTTGACTGGAATGTCATCTGTAACGCATCCTAAAAGCAGTAATATTTTTACAACAACATAGAAAAATTCTTTATAACCATTTGTAATTTTTCGTTGTCGATATTCAGGATCAATCTCTTACCATATCTGCATCGTGAGTTTGAGTCTCAGTGTACATGTCAAAACCACGATGCAGGTGCGTTCAGCTGACGAGTCGCAAACTGGACAAAGCGCGCCTCCTGAATTTCGCTGCTAGTCAAAATCCATCTTCTTTATAAGGCTTGTGACAAAATCACTGTATCAAGGCGATTTGTATATATCACATCCACATATTCCAACAAGGATTGATCAAAATTTTGTTCTATGTATCAACAATGGGTAATATAAAAAACAGTTTTTGTTAAATTTTTTCATTATTTTCCACCTTTCTTTATCGGCAACTGACTTTTTTTGTCTTATTTTTCCCCTTCAGAAATACCTAACAATGTCCAGTGATTCACCGCAGGTTATTCTTATGTCGTATGAAATGTTTCTACAGCATACTAGTGAAATCTATGAAATTTCCGACTTGGATATGGTTGTATGTGACGAAGGGCATAGATTAAAAAATTCCAATATCAATACAACTATGGTAGGTTGTTTGGATTTTGTTTATTGGTACACAGAATATGTAATATAACGATGGATCATTATATACGTATTTTAGTCGATCAATTATTCGTCAGTCTGTTATCTCATAGGCTTGCTTGTGCAGACTACTAGCAATAAACACTAGATCACGCTACTTGATTACGTGATCCTCACAATCACTCAATGAAACGACCGTTCGATCATGTTCGGGTCTCAAACACGCGGTTGTTGATGCAGGTACAATGCACTGAGTTAACAGAATGAAATTTACATTATAAAATATTCTTTTATGCTAAATGTACCGAGGCATATCTTCCTTTAATTATTGACCAATCAAAGATTACTCTAATCAAACATAACATCAAAGTGCTATCAATTTCGGAGGAAATAGTCGGATAATTTAAAGTCGCTGGTGCATATTTTTTTAATGTTGTGATATTTGTAAAATTCTCAATAGATTGCCCATCATTATTCCATCGTCATCAATTTTTACTTAGTTGAAATATATTTTTATTCTATATTCCTGTATTTTATAATTTAGGCACTTTGTCGACTACGTGCACGTAGACGTTTACTATTAACTGGGACTCCATTACAAAATCATTTGAATGAATTATGGTCATTGGCTAATTTCTGTGTACCAGGACGTTTAACTTCAAGTTTAGAAGAGTTTCGTCGTCAATTTGTTATACCACTATTAAATAGTCGTAACTTAGTACAAAATGTTAAAAACAATCTTAACAATGATGATGATTGTGATTCTTGGAGTTATACAAACTATGAGAAGAATTGTGATGATTTAGAAAGTCCATCAGCCAAATTATTCCGACTATTGAACAGTTTCTTTTTAAGACGCACATGTGATGTCATTGCACCAAAACTAACTGATAAAAGTAAGTACTCCTAACTTAAAAAAAATTCTTTTTGTGTGAGATAACTCTGTAATTATATGCATATAAATTTAGTAGACGTGAAACTCCCTGTTCGAGTCCTATTGAATTGTCGTGCACACTACTTGATGTATACCAAACCCAATATACAAGTAAAAACGCTTTAATAACTATCAAGGTTTAATTGCGAAGTGTATTTATAACGTACACGATTCACAGGAATATATACAAATATCCTTCTGGTTCAGAATCGGACACAGGGTGAAACCTTGTATAGGTGTATGGTTGACCTCTTTCCCTATAGCGTCGCTCGTCTATAACTTCTTACATACCGTTTGATAGCATATAAGCACAAGCGTATGAAACGTCTATTAACATCTAAACTATCATCGTGTTCTTAAATTATTCCACGTTCCTTTTCTTGTTAAGTTACCTGAGCTGAAGTTCAAAGTTGATGTAAATTCTTCATAATTAATCACCCATATACAGCCATAAACATTCATCCACCTAATTTCCTATTATCACACCTGACTGCTAACACTATATTCTAGTATTTTTGTGCTATGATAAAAGTTCATTATTTTATCGTAGTAGTGAATTTAATTTTATTGATCGGTTACTGATATATCTCTACTAGTTTATGTATAGGGATCATATCTACATATTATTTATGTGCTACAGATAATTCTTAAGCATCTGTTATTGTGAATGAAAATTGAAAATTACAACAGTGTCACTGAAAAACTAATTAGTTCTCACTAATTTCTTTCATATGAAAAGTCATACCTGTTACCTATAGACCGATTAAAATGTCACAGATTAAGCCAAATTTCTTAGTCGAAAGATATTTAGAATGCGTGACTTGCACAGTTCACTACTAGATAAACTTTTTATTTGCCATTCACGATAGGATGTGTGAACATGGAGAAACGCTTCTCAGACTACTCAATTGAGTTGAAACGCGACTCAATATCTATGGTACCAAAAGATACAAGCAAGCATATAGACAGATACGTACGTTCATACACGCTCAAGTTCACATATGGGTGACGAAATGACTAGGATGATTGGGATCATTCATCTGTCCAAAAGTAAAGATAAATCGTGTAAGCGTGTAAAATGCTAGTCACTACAATATTCACCCTACATTTAACTGCTACACCCATTCTAAAAAATAATCAGGTGAAAAAGATAAGCAACATCTAAGTATTCATCTAGAGAGCCGATATAGTATCAGATATTGATCAAGTCAATTCCATTTGTGAGTAGTGCAGAATATTAAACAGTTGTAACTCAGACTGTTAAATTTATTTTTCCATAAATGAACCACCAAAGACTTCAATGCTTGCTTTAGATTAATAACTAATAATAGACGATTGCGTAATCCCCATTCTGTCGAATTTGTATGCTTTAAGATACAAGCTCGCGTTCATAAGATATAATACGTAAACTAACAATGAATGGAACGAAATTTTATATTGTCTATGCTAGAAGCCAGACTGCTTGTTTTCACCCGTAAAGATTACCTTTGTGATTTTTAATCTCACTCCAATTTCTTTTTTCGTGCAACATCTTATAGTACTTAATAATATTCAGTAACGTAATTTATTTCTAATCATTTTTGAACACATTGATCATATAATCTATTCACTATGTGATTGCTCCAAGTATTTACATGCATTTGTGACATTTAATCCATCCAATATTGTAATCATATCCTCTCAAGATTTGTTTATTTGTAGAAAATTCCCATATTTAGTGTTGCGTAGTTCACCTTTCAATTTTTTCTGCCATTTTTGAATTGGATACATAGTGTCATTTAATTTATCATACGTTTTTGTAAATTGCTATTAAAGTCATTGTGAAAAGTATTTCCATTTCGGTCGTGCTTTGAAAATATAAAGGCTTTAGAAATGTCACAGTTTGAAGTTAATGTAAACTTTATTACTTATGTTCATTATTATTATTACTACCAATATCGTTTTTCTAGGCAATTCTTTTACTTTAGACTTAGTGACTTTTATATGTAACTCAATCGTTTCGTCGAAATCTTTAAGCGAATTCAACGGGTCTGAATAAGAAAGGAAGTGATATCACAACCAGGATATAATGTGCTTGATCAAATGACCTCGTCAGGTGCACACATAAAAAACTTACATCTAGGTACTGACTTGGTATAAAGTAACAATGAACATTCATTAGATAAAAATAATTTTGTGCAATGAATGTACAATGAATGAAGTAATGACAATTCCAGTTTATTAATATGAGGGCTTCGAATTTATGTCCCGTTGGTTCGGTGACTCAACAAGCGACTCACAACGTTCTAGATTCCAATCGAAGCCGGAACATGTTGGACATATTTTAGTCAAACCAATCAAATAGTGTCATTTGCTTTCACCAAAAAGTAGATGGGTCTATTCATCCAACTACATCGCGTTATCTTATTTATAACCAACAAAATCTTGCTTCACCAAACGGGAAAATGAGCAACTTTAGAGAGACCGAAACGAAGACCTAGGGAAATTGTGTCCAGATAGTCGTCACCCCAAAGCTTAGATTTATAAAAACAACCCAATTCTTGAGTGTTTCAATGACAAGTTTTTCAAAGGACTTACGATCATGAGATGTTGGATCATTGATTCTCTGAACAACTTCAGCGCGTTGTTTATTCGTTGTCTGACCATCTAATCGAAGAGATGGTTGTCCAGTGACTAGATTACATAATTTCTCCAAAAGATTAAGTGTCTGGAATATGGTAAATGTAAAAAAGTACAAGACTGATGAATTGACTTATATTTTGAAGTATTGTTTTCATAACATATATGTATGTTAAAAAGAAAGCTGCGAGATCCAACAATGTTTATGCATGATCAATTAGCCGTAGGCTAGTATGAGACCTAGTACCAATTTGTGTCATTTGACAAGCCATATCAACACAGTGATATGCCAGAGTAGCAGGAGTAGGATGGCGTGATACTGTGAGATCTGGTCATCTTAGATTTTATTCTTCGTATATCTATGGGTTCGCACTACTGAAGAGTCCTATACGAATACAGAACAGCTACATAACTTTCAACCACTTGGTCTCATTTAGGAGTGCGTTTCATCTGTCTCAGTCGAGGAAACAAAATGGTATTATTTATTGCTCATAGAAATAATATGATTCAAAGCTGTGTACATATACGTGTACTTGATTATTCATTTGTGTTAATGTATTTATCAATTATTCATAATGATTTAAATATCCCATCTGCTCTTTCTCGGATAAGGATACGTTGATTGGTCACTGAGTAGTGACATATTTCATATTTGTCTAATCCTTTAGTCCCAACCGAATTCTGACGATCAAGTTACAATGTGGCTACTATTTTCAGTGTCTGGACATCATGTTCACCATACTTTAATGTTAGATAGTTGGATGTAGTCTGCAGGAAACCCTTGAGAGTTCAGCTACTTCTTGCTTACGTGTGGTAACTAGTACGAAACTGACGTTAAACAGGGTTTACTCTCGAATACTTCCAACCATCTAACATGAATAGATATTTTTCTACTAATAGTCTGCTTATTTGGTTGTTTTCAACGTGCTTTATTCTCTATATATAGCCGAACATATTTTGTTTTGTCGTCCGAGTAAACTGCAAACCGATTTGGAAGCTATACTTACACAGTGGATGAATAATGAATTTAATTTAAGTCGATGTGAATCTCTTAAATTATTCTCACACGATGATGATTATGAAGATTTTGTTAAATCTGTGGAAGGCGTATCGTCATCACGTTCAAAACACCATAGTTCCATTTTATCAATTATAACAGCATTTCGAAAACTTCACAATCATCCATATCTATTAAGAAATTATTTAATACAGTCGAATTCTACACAAAATCAATCAGTTGATCGTGTAAGTTGTTACTATTTTTAATTAAGAAGCTTCAAATGTTGAGCTTTTACAGAATAGTTTTTTGGTCGTAATTGTCTTAGTTATAATTGTCTGATATATGTAGTTACTTGAGCTTTATATTTTATTAAAAAGAAATGACATTTAGACGTATAATGATTCCATAACTTAAACATTCTGCTTTCAAATGTATTAAATCATAAGTTTACACAACTCGTTTCAATTAGATTATCTAGGTGATATTTCTAGATTTTGCATGAAAAGGTCTTGTTGTCTAATAAACGAATGTGTACCTAGTCATACTCTATTCATTTACTCCATTCTAAAATGTTACTTAAAAAACTGCCACTTAATTGTCTTTATTCTGTATTTTTTTAAATGCTCTCTGATGTTGAACTAAATGGTGCTATTATAATTTGAAATTCTTCATCTTACGTATATGTCACAGTCTCTTCCTAAGGCCTTGCTGAATCAATTTTGATGATCGTCTCATTAGTGGTTACATGACTGTTATGATATTGGGTTCCTCGTGAGGCCTGAATGTTCTGGGCTTTGTCTCATATGAATTCCTGGGAAGTCACAAACGTAGGAAAAATAAATATTCTGCACATTCTGGTTTACGATTGTTTATCAGTGTATTTCAGTCCGTGTCGAAAACTACTTTTACATGTAACAAATCTATAAACCACCTAGATAGATAGAGTCACTTAATATTATATATTAGCACTGTAATACATCCCAATTAATTTGATTACATATTTATAGTTATACTTCAGAAGTCAATTCGCTTCATTCTTAACACTGTAGGGCATCCGCAACTCCTCAACTTTTTAAAAATCATTTCGTTAAACTTGAGAAATTAGTATTACAACGTAACTTGATACCTTGTTGCATCAGTTCTCTTACCTAGAATCCATACACATAAAGTTACAAAAATGAGCAACATAAAAAGTTAGATATAGGTTATGACAGTAGCCTAGATTTTAGGCCATGTTATCTAACATGTTCAATCACAGTGGTCCTTTATATCTTAAAACTGTTCAGCCTTTCGTATGATTTACACTTGTAATAAGTAACTCCTTACGGCCATTTGTTATTTCCACTTTTTCATGCATTTCAGTTAACATTATTAATCGTATTAGTTAGTAACTGAATTCATAACAACGAATGTCTTGAAAACACACATATACCGTTTGATACATACTCGAAACTCTTTTAATTGCTTTTTCTCATGTTTATCACGGTAGCTTGCATTTGATGTTAGTATTACTTACTTATATCTTGACGACATGAAATATTTATCCTTCAAGCAACCTTCAATCAAATATTTCAAACCTCTTATAAACAATATGGCAAATCATTCCCTGTTTTATAGCCAGGTGGTTGTTTCAACTGTCGTTTAAAAGTGTTAACAGGTTTTTGAGTTTTCTCAGCATGTTTTTTAAAAAATCACTCCGAACTAAGTGTTCGAATAATCAACAAAATTGTCAGTCCTGTAAGCAGTGGTCTTTTGGAGAATAGAATCTGACAGTCCTCCATACCATGTAAGTAAGTACACAGTTTCCTCCAAATATTTACATCGAATAAAATTATTTAAACTAATTCCTTTAGTTGTGTACATTTCATCATTTTTCCCCTTCGCACACAGCTACCTACAAAACTGACTGCAGATTTGCTCCGTTTGTTGAATTCTGAACATTCAATAGTGGCACAAGATCTCTGTTTTACAAATCTAAATGAATTTATTCAATTATCTGGAAAGTTTCATGTTCTTTATATCATGCTGAGACGACTGTTTGACAAACAACTGTCATCTTCGTCCACAGTGAATTTCCAGAAAAAATCGCGACTATCCAACAGTAATAGTAAAAATAGTTTACATATTAATGATCGTCTTGTATTAGTTTCCAATTTTACTCAGGTGAGTATTATGACTTGATTACTATAAACGTTGTTATACTATTCTCTCTATCGATTTATATTTTTTTTATTTTTATTTTTATTTGAAAACATAAATATTGGTACAAGAGGGCACCAAATATATATGCGCCACACTTTGTGTGAGGGTTGTGATACTGCCCAGGTGCCCAGACCAAAGCAGGTGGTTTTCTTAGGGGGTCACACCCCTAGCCTTTGACCTGAAGGTCTCACCCACAAGGCAGTGGAGCATCGTGAGGAGATGCAGTCCCATTGTAGCCGGTGACCAAAAATTGGTTCATACGCCATTTATTCCCTCAGGATACTGGAGCCCATGTGCACCATTGGTTTGAAATCGGGTTAAAGCACCGGACATTCGCGTTTCGTCCTCTAATTTTCGTAAACAAAACCCCCACCCCGAGAAGGCAATGAGTAGGACCTCCCTGGCAGAGGCTGTGTACGCGTGGCCGTGTGAGAGCATTTCGAGAGGGAGGGCGGGCCCACCTCACTCTCGGCCATACCAGGGAGTTTGGGGACATCAATTTATATTACTTCGGTTTATAGGAGGCAACTATTTATCCCAGTAATACTCAGAAGGTTAACATTGCCGCTTGAGATAATAGATTTACGTATTTATGTTCAGTGCTTTTCCAAATGATAACAGTCTGTAGTAAAAACTGGATTCATACAGTTTCAGTGATATAAAAACTTCCTTCTAGTGAGTTTAGATTTTCTTTGCCATGAATATTATTATAAGTCCTATCCTTTCCTCTCCACTTCTTTTCATCTTGTTAAATTTTTCTCTACTGTATGATACAAGAAATACTACCACCACTGATACTTCTGCTATTCTGGCATATCACTGTGTTGATATGGCTTGTCAAATGACACAAATTGGTACTAGGTCTCATACTAGCCTACGGCTAATTGATCATGCATAAACATTGTTGGATCTCGCAGCTTTCTTTTTAACATACATATATGTTATGAAAACAATACTTCAAAATATAAGTCAATTCATCAGTCTTGTACTTTTTTACATTTACCATATTCCAGACACTTAATCTTTTGGAGAAATTATGTAATCTAGTCACTGGACAACCATCTCTTCGATTAGATGGTCAGACAACGAATAAACAACGCGCTGAAGTTGTTCAGAGAATCAATGATCCAACATCTCATGATCGTAAGTCCTTTGAAAAACTTGTCATTGAAACACTCAAGAATTGGGTTGTTTTTATAAATCTAAGCTTTGGGGTGACGACTATCTGGACACAATTTCCCTAGGTCTTCGTTTCGGTCTCTCTAAAGTTGCTCATTTTCCCGTTTGGTGAAGCAAGATTTTGTTGGTTATAAATAAGATAACGCGATGTAGTTGGATGAATAGACCCATCTACTTTTTGGTGAAAGCAAATGACACTATTTGATTGGTTTGACTAAAATATGTCCAACATGTTCCGGCTTCGATTGGAATCTAGAACGTTGTGAGTCGCTTGTTGAGTCACCGAACCAACGGGACATAAATTCGAAGCCCTCATATTAATAAACTGGAATTGTCATTACTTCATTCATTGTACATTCATTGCACAAAATTATTTTTATCTAATGAATGTTCATTGTTACTTTATACCAAGTCAGTACCTAGATGTAAGTTTTTTATGTGTGCACCTGACGAGGTCATTTGATCAAGCACATTATATCCTGGTTGTGATATCACTTCCTTTCTTATTCAGACCCGTTGAATTCGCTTAAAGATTTCGACGAAACGATTGAGTTACATATAAAAGTCACTAAGTCTAAAGTAAAAGAATTGCCTAGAAAAACGATATTGGTAGTAATAATAATAATGAACATAAGTAATAAAGTTTACATTAACTTCAAACTGTGACATTTCTAAAGCCTTTATATTTTCAAAGCACGACCGAAATGGAAATACTTTTCACAATGACTTTAATAGCAATTTACAAAAACGTATGATAAATTAAATGACACTATGTATCCAATTCAAAAATGGCAGAAAAAATTGAAAGGTGAACTACGCAACACTAAATATGGGAATTTTCTACAAATAAACAAATCTTGAGAGGATATGATTACAATATTGGATGGATTAAATGTCACAAATGCATGTAAATACTTGGAGCAATCACATAGTGAATAGATTATATGAGCAATGTGTTCAAAAATGATTAGAAATAAATTACGTTACTGAATATTATTAAGTACTATAAGATGTTGCACGAAAAAAGAAATTGGAGTGAGATTAAAAATCACAAAGGTAATCTTTACGGGTGAAAACAAGCAGTCTGGCTTCTAGCATAGACAATATAAAATTTCGTTCCATTCATTGTTAGTTTACGTATTATATCTTATGAACGCGAGCTTGTATCTTAAAGCATACAAATTCGACAGAATGGGGATTACGCAATCGTCTATTATTAGTTATTAATCTAAAGCAAGCATTGAAGTCTTTGGTGGTTCATTTATGGAAAAATAAATTTAACAGTCTGAGTTACAACTGTTTAATATTCTGCACTACTCACAAATGGAATTGACTTGATCAATATCTGATACTATATCGGCTCTCTAGATGAATACTTAGATGTTGCTTATCTTTTTCACCTGATTATTTTTTAGAATGGGTGTAGCAGTTAAATGTAGGGTGAATATTGTAGTGACTAGCATTTTACACGCTTACACGATTTATCTTTACTTTTGGACAGATGAATGATCCCAATCATCCTAGTCATTTCGTCACCCATATGTGAACTTGAGCGTGTATGAACGTACGTATCTGTCTATATGCTTGCTTGTATCTTTTGGTACCATAGATATTGAGTCGCGTTTCAACTCAATTGAGTAGTCTGAGAAGCGTTTCTCCATGTTCACACATCCAACCGTGAATTTTTACGCTTGAAAACAGGCGTTGTGACTTCTATCTTAGTAAATATAAAACTTTGTTTCTGTTCCTTTTATTTGATCAATTATTCAGGTATATTACTGCTTAGTTCACGTGCGGGTGGAGTAGGTTTAAATTTAATTGGTGCCAATTACTTAATTTTGTTCGATATGGATTGGAATCCAGCAAATGATGCACAAGTAACTCTTTGTTTATTTTTCTGTTCTTATAATTCAACCTCACTCCCTAAAAGTCTGTTTATATAATAAGTTTTATTCAGCTTGTATATAAATTATTTTAGAATCATTTAACTTACTAAGAATGGGTTTATAGACTGACTTGAACCTTGTAAATCGAATTAGACGGAGAAGTGAACTGTTGAAAATTCACGGTCATTAGTCAAGTAAATTTACTGATTATACGTGGAATAAAATTTCCGTATTTCCTTAATATATTGAATAATACAATGAATGCAACAATCAGTCAGTTGGTTGGGGTGTTTATTGTGATTCAGTAAATATACTAATAAAGAATATAAAATGTCAACTGGTTAAGGGATAGTCATCTTGAAAGCGATCTCAGAGGATCCATTTAATGATTAAGAAAGGGAAAACATTGTGGAAACTTTTTTTGAACTCATAATCTTTATTTAGTTAGATGAATTCATATAACTTTCTCTGTATCTTGAAGCCAAATTTTCGATGCATAATTTAGGTTGAAGTAAATTTTTTGAATAGTTAGTAAACTAGTTTTTTCATATTTATTTGGTGTCCAGTGTTTACTGGATGAATCTAGTTACGGATTCTTATTGTATTTATGTAGTCCATACTTACCTTTTGAGAGCGATTATCAATAATGCAGTGATAGGTTTATACATAATTTCTTTCGATGTTATGTCCTCTAATTTAAGCTGAATGATTTAATTACGGGGCCTTCATTTTTATTCTGGACAACATCTTCAGTTTCTGCCCCGGATAGATATGAACTTTTCAGTTATTCTGTGTTTTATCAGTTCGTTTCAATGACTTTGTTTGTGATTGACTATCTTCATTAATTTTTATTGTCATCATTTGTCCTTATGTTCACGTTGAATACTCTTGTTGGTTGACCTATGACCTTGTGAATGATCAATCCTTTTTGTGTTCCTTCATAGATTGGCTCTATATCAGTATGCACCGTTGATTATTCATTGATCTTAATCTCACACCCCTAGGAATTCTTCGACATCCTCGAAGTTTCTTTAATACAAAATGTAACGTTTCGCCAGTGGAATTCGTGTCTATAGTTGTCTGCACGCATTGATATCGGTAACTGTATATCATGTCGCTTAATCGCTAACCTGTGTTCATTCGCTCATAAATATGATTTTAATTAACCAACTACTAATTTTCAATATGTTGAATTTTCCAGTCATTTAGCTTATTTAACCAGATACATTTACTTAAACATTTCATATAAATTCAACATAGTATGCTTCCTACACTAATAAGTATCATAGTTTTTTCTAAAACTGTAATTCAGTATTAACCAATCATCTCAGATGACTAATCAAGATTTACATTTTCATCTATTGTCATGCCTTCTCCAAACTGTATTTATTCATCTAAATTCATTCAGTAAGTCTACATGTGATTATCGTCATACATTAATCCGTTTTACTTACGAATATTAACAATAAATTCCTGAAAGATCCCAAATAAACGGATACTAAGTTACCATATCATCTTTTCTTTTACTAAACTTCAGTTACTCAAATTTCTACATGTTAAACTCTTCTTTAATTTCAGGCTATGGCTCGTATTTGGCGTCCGGGACAAACTAGATCGGTTAATTTATACCGGTTAGTAACAGCAAGTGGTATGGAAGAACGTATATTTCAACGACAAGCAGCTAAATTAGCTTTAACCAGTCAAACATTAGTCAATACATCAATGTATAATGAAAATATTTTGGAATTTATTGAGACAAAAAAGAAACCTGATAAAAATCTTGGAATTCTTACTCGTGATGAATTGAAAGTTTGTTGATATTGATTATTTTTGAAATAGTGTTACTTGATGTTATTATCATGTTTTTTTTTATCATTTAAGTTAGTTGTTGGCTTTGAAGTTAGCCGTCTTTCAGTTTTATTACATAATTGATCTCCAAATGCTTGGGTTGAAAGATCCTGTACAGGACCTCAAATTTTTAAAATTTTTCCACCAACGAGATAGAATTTCCTGTTTCAGATTCCAGTTCATGATGCTGCTGCTTGGTTTCAATAGATCTCCTTAGATAACTTATTTTGTCGTTGGATTTATCTATATAAATCATTCAACTATTTTTTCCACTGTAGTTCCAGGATGCCTCAAAATGTAAATGAAGAGTCGTTTCTTCACTAGGTAACAATTTTTTGCAATATTTAGCTATTACTGGGGCTCAGTGGGTCTTATCGTACTATGATGTAGTAGGGGGAACCATTCATATTGTCTGTTTATTCATGTTCTTCTGTGCAGTCTGTTCTTATCATGTCATCAGCACAATCAGTCATGTCGATTACTTTGTTTAAATGTATGTTTCAGTGTTTTTCATAACTGAAGACAGATTCTCGTTGAATCAAGATCTAGATTACTTAAAATCAGATGAGTGATTTTATACCTAATTCAACTGTAAACCATCTGGACAGTCAGTCGTAAGCCACGAACATGTGTTAATTGTTGGTGGATTTAGTGCTATGATGGATTTTGGAATTGTGTGATTTGTTTCAATTAAAATCATTGTAATTGAGAATCAAATGTAGATTCAATTTAAAATCCGTCGTCAGCTCTTGCCGTAAATCAACCATTTGAAATTATCATCTCAAATAAAATTATACCTAAACCCTATCCTTGTTTACTGACTATTTGTTTTTATCATGATTTAAAAACTGGTTAACGCCATTTTCTTATCTAAACAAAGCTATTTTGAGAAGAGTATGACATGTGTTAATCAAAGCATAAATTTGCTCATCTTTCTACGATCCATGTTATCTGGGATTATTTACTATGACTCCATTTCACTACTAATTATTTGTAAGTAGTACAAAGTGTATTACAAAATATGGAGTGATACATATTTTCTTTTGTAACTTGTTCATTATTTCCTTTTCCTTTTAATGTTTAGGAATTATTTCTCCTTCCCAATACATCATCAGGGTCATGGACTCATGAACTTATTCAGTGTAATTGTAATCAGTCTCTAGAAAAGAAACCTTTCACCCCAAGTCCTTCTCTCTCATCATCATCATCAGACATTGAAAACTATGATTCTGCCGATGAAATTGTAGTGAAGAGTTTTATAGATTATTCTCATGAACTTGACGATAAAGAGAACAGAAAAGAAGAAATTGAATCATCAGGACACACTACTGGTATTATCAATGATGGGAATGAAGACGATGAATATTCCAATATTAGAATATTTCAATTAGGTTCTACAAATCCACTTATTACTGAGAGCTTGAAATCACCCAAATCCCAATTCACCGATTTGAAACAACAGTCAGCTTCAATGCCAACGAAAACTCATAAGTTACCATCATCTGATTCACTTGGTTTTCTATTGAATTGGAAACATTCTTTTTCATCTGAACAAATAGATCAGTTGAATGATCGACTTTTAATAACACATCAATCGGACCCTATGAAATCCTTAATAAACTGTATATTTACACTAAATTCGAAAGCATCTTAAGTATTTAGTATTTTTTTAAGTTATCTTCATTATATCGATTAATTTTCTCACCTCTCTTTATGCCTTTCTTGGATAATGACTTGAGTGTATTCATAAACAGTCCTATTTATAATGCATACCGTTAAGTGCTGTTTGTGTATTGGGGAAGATGTTCATTAAAATACATGTTGTCCTTCAATGAATGAAAATGTGGCTATTGTTAGGTTTGTCGGGTCAAACGAAGTTTGAAGATTGTATTGGCTTTTCGGATTATTTATGTATGGAAAAATGCAACAAGCAATAATTAGTTTATGCTTAGCGTACACTAAAGATAATAAACTCGACAGTAACAATATCAAAATCTCAGCGCATATATGCATGAAAGTGACCGATTCACCACGTGTGAAATAACAAATGAGGATCAACCACATAAGGAAACAGTTTAATGAAAATAGTACGAAAAAAGAATTCATCTTAATTACTCATAGGTAATGTAGTTGTGCTACATAAGTTCCATAGGTGTTAAAGCGAGGATAATTCGATTCACTCAATGAAAAGTGCTCAAAAGTATAACAAAAAGGTACTGAAGCCTTTTTGTGATTTATTTATTGTTTTCTTTTGATCGTTACTTTTATGTGCTCGAACTTAACAGAAGGTGTCTACGGGATTTATACTGTTGATTGAACTGGCATTCGGGAGGAAAACCTGAACTTAAGCTTCATCCAAGTCGGCGGTTTTCAACAAAGCGTCCATTCAGTCTTAAAGGAATCAGATTTTTCTGTATGACTAGGACGAAATCTGTCAAGTCAAGCAATCAGAGATGCTACTACTGCCGAGTTACTTATACTATTACCTAGGTTAATACTTGGTCGACAGAATCCTATTGATATACAAGACTAGACAAGCATAACACTCTCTACCTCTCACTATTCAGTCATTGTAGGTTTAAAATTGAACTAAATAAACTTTATTTCTTCAGGGTGGTTGGAATATGCGTTCTCTGTGGTAACCAACTAATTCTAGATGGAACAGTCAATCCTCTAATAACATCAAGCAGGTGACGCTAGTAGGCTATCAATGAATAGTTTAACATTGGTTTCAAGTTCAACTAGTGAGATAGTCTGAGGTCATGATCATTTATAATTGTGTTCACATTATAGTTGCTGACGTTCGTTCATCAATCTTCTTGTTAGATGATTCGACATAGTCGAACTATGTTAACATGCATCACAGTAAGGTGGTAACTGCTAAGCTATTTGGTCTGTGACTGACATGTGGGAATAGGATTCATACAACTGACCGGTCTCTAAGTAGTGACCGATGTCACGTTTGCCTAAACCATATGTACTGGTTCGGTCTCGTCAAACGGATTCGAATCCCCCCAAAGGCAGCAGTTTCTTCAAGACTACAGGTACACCTTGCTGATAGATACCAACCAGCACGAAACCTAGGTTCACAGTTTCCTGTCGAAAATCCTCACCCAATTAACATTTCAACATAGTGCATTCAATGGCTAATCACTTAGAATAGTGGTCTTATTACAATTAGATCGATGGAATTCAATCAGCATTAATGGCTATAAAAACCTAATATTGGCTCAACCAATTGTCAAATGAGCTACCACTTTTCGAGCATAATATAAAGCATATGATTTCGTAACAGATAACATAAGGGTACGTGCAAACTATAATTTGTCTAAAAATTCCTCTATTTAACCTCAGCAACCGCAGATTTCAATCTAGCAGATACAAAAAGCAATCCTTACAGATGCAAATGACTTTTTTTATCTTAATATCTTGTGGATGGACGGTTACATTCCTTCCTACTAAACGTTTTTGGCCCTTCTTGTTAACATACAATTAATTAGAAAAAAATCAACAAGCTCTCTATATATTTATCAGTTTTACTGCTCCTGTGGAGCTAGTCACATGCAACTGACAAATACTCAAGTACAATTTTTATATTTCTGAACATCATCCTTCATAATGAATCAACGAACTGGTTAGATCTCTAGCCTATAAAATGGTATTATTCTGAGTTATTTATCTATATTTTCTTATTAAATTTATTAATCTTTAAATTCTTTTATAAGTAGTTCTCATATTTAACATCTATATTTATCATAATTTTACTTACATTACATTCTCACATTATTACAAACACTTAAGTGAGAAGTTGTTATGTCCCGATGCGAATTATGAATGGTAACTTTTGGGATCCATTTCTGAACTAATACTACACATATATTTTTATTGTATAATTGTTAAACAAGTAAGCTATTCGTACTCGTGTTCCTCTTATTCTAAGCTTTATTTCGACTTATGAACTGTTATTATACTATTTACCATTCTTGAGTTATGCCTTGTCTATGAATTACCATCTCCTACATTCACAGTCACTTTGGGCTAAGTCTTGTACAAATGTTTTTTCCTATTTGATGGTGCGATTTGGTCTCCTTGGTTGGTTTATAAACCCAGTATGTTTGAAATAAATGATTCATATCGCGGAGGCTGATATTGGTGTTCTGGACTTAACAGGTAAGACTAGGTGGGAATCAGGACCGATAAAGATTCCAGACTGCTCATACTTGTTTCATGCATCGTTGGTCCGGTCGATAATATACCGTTCTCTAATTCTTGGTATCATTACGTCATATATTAATAGGATACATGGCACAAGTTATAACAGAAGCAATTTTAAAAAATCAATTTAAACAGAATTTATTAAAATCCACTAAATTGTGCATAAATATTTTTGATAATAATAGACATTTTTTCGTAATATAAAACTTGTTTACTTTTTATTCATTTAAGTAGTATAATTCATATTTTATAAATAAATAATCTGATATTTTTTTCTAAATAATTCAAAATTTGAAATATCATTAAAATTATGATTTTTTGAATTTGATTTATATTTTTTCAAATTATACCAATCATATTTTGAATTAATATTAAGATTAGATGTGAATTTATTAATTTTTATTGTATTCGATTCATTACATTTATATTTATAAGTAGTATGATTAAACTGGGTATTAGTAATTAAAGAGGTTTGTGAATTCATTGTGTTGCCATATTCTACGAAAGAAGGTATTTTCTTTTGTTCATTACTATTATTAGTATTATCATTGCTGAGATCACCAGAGCTACAGTTTTTCTTGTGTAAATATTCCGACATTTCTACAACATCTTCATTGACTTTTTCATAATTCAGTGGTAAATCAGTAGTAGTTCCATGCACAGATTTAGCTTGATGACCAGAATTTCGGATAAATACTTTCTTCCCATAATTTATGAATGGAACGTTTGTACATTTTTTTGGAATCACATCATATAGATTACATAATGATAATCGTTTACAATAATTTATGATTGTAGTTAAATGTGTATAAAGATTTGATTTAAATTCTTTTATACCAAATAACAGAATAATAGCTCTTATATATATTTCAATAAAATTTATAAAACGTAATGCAGACTCATAGTTACTTAAATAAATTTCATAAGGTTTTAATAATTCCATAATATAACCGATAGTATTCAATAGTCCTTGATCTGTTTGATTTTGAAAATCATCTAATTCATGATTATGTACATTATTACGATTTGTTACTTTACCTGAAATTTAAAGTGAACATTAATACGTTAGAATATAGATATATGTATATTTTAATAGTTGAGATCATGAGTCAACTGAAGCTAGACTACCATGAAAAACCGGGAAACACTAAACGGCCGTCTCGTCCTATTGTGGGACGACTCAGCAGTGCGCATCCATGACACCGCCTCGTAAGATTTCATCCAAGACCTATCAGTCTCGCGCGCGAACGCTTAACCTCTAGACCACTGAGCTGACTGGCATCCAACGATGTTAATATCTAACTTCAACTAAACCACAAACTTCAGCGAAACATCCACTACTGTCTTCAGTGAGTTACTATGTCATAACAGACCCAGTTGAACTCCACTGGTCACTGTTTTTCACTAGAACTCCATGAAATACCTCTTGATGTCAGTCACTAGTGAGCATATGTTGATTAAAATTAATATAAAATCCATAAAACCCCTTCTGATATATGTATTTATTCATAATAATAATATATTGACTATTTAAAGGAAAATATCTTTACAAACCAATGAATATACGTGGAAAATACAGTGATTAACAACCTTCTATTATATGTAAAGAAGATAATTTTATTGATTGAATAGTAATGAAAAAGACAAAATATTGTAGATGATTAATTAAAGCTGGTTTGACCTCATTATTTGAGTGGAGTGAAACTATCCAATCGACGATATCAAAATTATATATAGTTATGTTGATATAAAAAACGTACATTGGTTGATAAGAAATGAATCTTTGCATGAAATTTAGCAGATAATCTAAAATATATGAGATAACTAAAAGACTTGTAGAAGTGTCAAATTTACACAATTACTTGGAAGATCTAGACAAGTTATTGAAATCTCTAAACTTCCTTGCATGATGATTATAAGAAACATGTGACTGCTGAATATTCGTTTTAGTGTAAAACTTTTGGTAATCTTATGTTTTCTTGAATTTCACACATTTTCAATTTTCCGAAATGTTTGTGGATATCTTGGAAATCCTTTTGATTCAGTCTCATGTTTCTTATAGTTTACATCAAGAACTGAACCTATGCAAACATTGAGAATCAAGGAAAAGTGGAAAGCTATTTCGTCTTAGTACGCTACATTTTAATAGTGTTCATCCAAGATCCTACTGGAGACCAAACCAAAACGTTCAAATCTTTCATCGAGTGCTTAGCATTCAATCCATTGATGCAGCAACCAACGGGTTTTACTTATAATTTCAATTCATTGTCGGTATTACGCAATGATCTTCCAATTTCTTTTCATATTTTCTCCTGATATTAGTCTCCGGGTAATATATCTTTACTGGAAATATCTCTTAATTACAACAACTTCATCGACCACAAACATGTGTCATAATTAGAATTTCAGTTAGGTACAAAACTAATAAATAATTAGTGAATTTCTCAACACTGTATATTTAATCCCTATTGTTTACTATTCCTTTCCTACCTGGTTTTATTGAAGTCTTGTAAACTCATGAGTATCAGTCCTAATATCCCAATTTAGTTATGGCTGAGGCCATAAGGTCTATTAGACAGTATGTTTCCACATATCTCTGCTACTATCAGCCATCCAGTTTTTGTGTTGTTACTGTTTAATTTTAAATAACAAACTTCCATTTACAATCATTTTACTATAGAATAAGTTCTATATATTAGAATCTCATAATCAGTATCGTTGCATCAAAAATTTCAACTAAGATTTTATGCTACTTTAAATACATTTCAGTAATACTAAAAATTTATAAAAAATTTACGTTGAACTTACTGATAAAAAAGAAATATTTCATTAAATAATATAAACATCGTGGTATCAAAAATATTCCATGAATAATACAAATTAAATTAAATACTCGAATTATTTTCATAATCCATCTAATATATGATAAATAATTTTTATTATATCTTTGTTCATTATTATTATTATTATCATTGATGAATATAGTTAAATATTTCTCTTGACTACTATTATGATGATCATCGAACTTATTATTGATTTCTTTCTGATATTTGTTTACTTGAAATCGATATAATATATAGCTAATTAATCCACTAAATAAACATATGATACATGGTAATATATCACCAATTATATGATCTATTAATGGCCATATATAATTTAAAAATATTGGACTTAATATCCATGTTAATGCAAAATCACATTTATATATATTATGTAATATACGTTCATGTAATATAAATGTTTCTAATTTTGATAAATCATATGTCCATATAAATTGACAATTTAATATAATTGTTATAACAATGATTAATATCAATATATTTTGTATAAATTGTTTTATTTGTTTGAATGACTTATTTAATTGTTGCCATGGATACAAATATAATTTGATTGTTTCAATTGTAAAAATTATATATAATATTGAATGTATATGTTTTATTAAATTATATAACATTGGTATAATTTGACAATAAAAACGTCCAAAAAATTGTATGATAATAAATAATTTAATTTCATAATATGATTCAATAATAAGATCAATAATACAGATCAATAAATCAAATTGATCCAGTATAATAATATAAAATAAAAATATTATCCATGGTATTTGTTTATATAATATTTTTATTATTGTATTGATTATTAGAAAATTTATAATTAATGCAAATAGAATTAATGGAATCATTAATTGATTTATTGATATTTGATTATTATGTAATATTATTGATTCATTTTCAAATTCAATCGATTTTATTGATTTATGTATATTGAATGAATTAATCAATGTTTCATTTAATGTATTATTTTGATTGATGAATTTATTAGTTTTTAAATTTATTATATTTTCCATTGATGTTTGATTAAGAAAGTCATTTGGATATTTTGTCAATTGTGCTTTTGTTGAAGTAGCTAAAAATAAATCAATAAATCAATAGTTATATTCTCTTAATTATCATTTTAATTATTATTGTTGGAGTGTGAGCTACTTTTATCCACAAAAGTAGTATATAACGATAGTCAGAGATAGAATGCAATGAAGAAGGAAAGAATGAAAACAGAAGGCAATCGGTATGAAATTACACAAACAATGAAATCTGAGACGATGGACTGACATTTGCAGACAATTGACTGATATTTTGCAAATTAAGTATTTAATTTATGGTTCTCAGTTTAAGTGAGATATTCTGTAAGTTTTAGGCCCAACTCCATTCGATAGTCCCCATTCGTGTTCTTCTTCACAACATTATTATTATAAGTGGTTATATTCAATATTATATTTGTGGTACAATATAGAATTCTCAGCATAACAAGTTTCTGTTTCTTAATTCTTGGTCGGTCTTGACGATAAGATATTAAGTGGTTGCTAGTTAGAAATTAACAGTCCAGTCAATAGACACCTAAATAATGTACATTCTTTTTAACTGTATAATGCCAGAAACCACCATATCTCTGACTCAGCCTTTTGTAACTTGTACAATGAAAGGTTGTATACTTTTCAGAAACGCAACTGAATACGTTATACGATTAAGAGCCATAATGATGCATTAAAACAAACGAAATTAAATAATCTATTGAAATATCTAAATGGCAAGATATAGGTAGCCCAAATGTTCAACCAGGCCGTCATATCACTGACATCAATCTATTATCTTTACAGTGGGTTGTATAACACACAAAATCTACCTTTTTTGGATGAATAAACAAAGATGGTTAACTTTGAATCGATAAGACTTATTGCTTGATTAAATCTATGTTGATCAGTTTTCTTTAAACTAACATTTTGTTATAAAACTTAAAGAGCCTCACCACTTCTAAAGGAAACAAATGATGATGTAGTTAATGTTTTTACTTTACTTTTAATAGTCTATCACCAGCATATGACTTCATAAAGTTTTCCATTTCATCATCATATTTTGTAAATCAGCTCAGCAATACAGTAGATTAATAGTAATCGAACCACATGAGAGGATATGATCTTGTTAAGTAACAGATGAGATGAAAGAAGAAAATGTGTAAAGTAATGTTAAACTTAATATCTAGTGAGTGAAAATTCATAAATCCCAACTAAGAAGATATCACCTACGTATTTGCCATAGACTAACAGGAAATGAGTCCAAGTACTAATGAACTATATTCGTTTGGCTGCTGACTTTATCCAACCTACTGTTATGTCGGCTAATCATAAACCTCAGGGAACATTGCAGTTGGATATGCATAAAATATTGTCTCATCAATTGAAATACCATTTCTACTTAAAACCATATACTAAACATTAGCATTTGTTATTCCTTAATTTCACTGTAGACCAACAATGTTTTCAAGACGTCTATAGCAAACTTCCGTTTTCACTTTTTATTTCGTCATGTTTCACATCTGTAAAACAAAACGGATCAAACTGGTGAACAGTATACTTAGGCAGGTATATAGTCTGCTCTATATGATTGGATATTGTTACTGTTCGATTACACAAAGTTGATCTTAATAACATGATCAAAACAAAAATTCACTTTAGATGAGTTACACTTATCTTCTTCGAACTTTTTGAACTATTCAGTATTAAAATCTGATTAAGTACTCCTAAAGATCGCTTAACCTCTAAACCACTAAGCCAGTATCCGACAGTGTTAATATCTAAATTCAAGTAATCCACAAAATTCAGCGACACATCCACTACCGTCTTCAGTGAGTTACTATGTCATAACAGACACAGTTGAACTCCACTGGTCACTGTTTCTCACTAGAACTCCATGAAATACCTCTTGAAGTCAGTCACTAGTGAGCATATATTGATCAATATTATAAGTGGTTTTGTGGATATTATAACAATTTTAATAGTTGAGATCATTAGTCCCACAGTAGGACGAAACAACGGTCTAAAGCTTCCCTCATTTTCTATAGTAGTCTAGCTTCAATTGACTCCTGATCTCAACTATTAATATAGACCTACCTAATTTATATTCGTGATTACAGATTTGAAATTAATCAACATATATAATTACTAGAAAGCTTAATGAATAGTAATTTATTAGTTTAAGCGCCTGGCGTGAGACTGATACATCCTGGGTTCGGATCCCGTTGGGTGCGGGATCGTGGATGCGCACTGCTGAGGAGCCCCATACTAGGACGAAACGGCCGTCCAGTGCTTCCAGGTTTTCCACGTTGGTCCAGCTTCAATTGAATCATGATTTCAGCAAGTGGAATAGTAATTTAATTGGATGGATATACAATGTGAATTCAATTCAATTTATGAAGATGTATTTAACAACTGATTATTACATAATGGACTGAATCGATTGACTTTCCCTTTTTTTTCTCTTCTTCTTTTATTCACAGTTTATTGGTTGAATGAAAAGGATATTTTGTTTTTCATATTAGTTATCTAATAATTGGTGAATTGATTTATTTTGCCATTCATAAATCATTTCAATCAACATTGAACTATTAAGGAAATATAATGAAATAACAGATTATTCTAAATACATTCTATAGAGATTTATATTTTTAATCGTTTATATAATGATGCATATTAAATTAATTCTATATAGATTATGAATTTAAGAATTAAACAAAGATCATATTATTGAAAAGATCAAGAAGATTCTGAATTCACTGAGAAATATCTTAGCTAATCAACATTCGCTAGAAATTTTGGCAGAAACATCTACAAAATGAAATATCACATGTCACGTTTCTGATTGAATGACTACTTATGCTGCTATTATGTTTAGCATTCCCCGAAAGGCCTAGTCAGTCAGTCAGCTACAACGTAGGACCACACATCGGTCCAAGTTGTCATTAGCACAGCAAGATGAACACCAGTTTCATAGAAGTAGTTAATTCAGTGGTGGTAATATATAAAAGGAAGATTGCATACAAGGATATAGTACAGGAAGAAAGAATTGGTTTGTAGAAAGAAAGATATGAAGCGATTTTAATCTCTTAGTTTAAGGGAAGACAGAGAGTGTATACACCTAAGCCATTGTGATCGATTCTGAGCCATGTCACTCACAGTCTCCAACAATTGGCTACAATATTCACGCGGTCTCCAACCAAGTGGTCTGCATCTACCAACATGGCTCAGACCACAAGTTGGTGACTTCAAGCACTGATGCCACGTTCTCGTTTGGCCGACCCTAACTTTCTTCCAACCATCCCCTACACTAGTCAGCATTGGGTGTCGTGGTACTCGGTGTTCAGGCGTACACAACACGTGGCATAACTATCTCAGTCGACAAAGATTCACAACCTCATCAAATGATTTACCATCATTCCTTAATACTCTGCGTCTAACCTCATTATTACTTACCCGGTGATCTGAGCAGATGCGAGCAATATTTCCAAGACATCTGTGGCCAAATACTAGTAACTTACGAATATCTTCTACTCTTAGTGGCCACGTTTCGCAGCCGTGAATTAGAGCAGAACGAGCTGCTGCGCAGCATACTCACCCTTTAATTGATAGACGGATATCTCGCTATTGCCATAGGTGATATAAGTTGGCAAAGTCCAAACGAGCTTTTTGAATCCGTATAGAGATTTTGTCATAGATACATTACGGCTGATCAGATTTCCAAGACCCAAAGCCATCTAAAATAGTATCGATGACCTAGATTTTCTGTACATAAATGAACCTTGGATTAAAACGTTTCTTCCATATTTCACATCTCTCACATGTAGATTTAGCCTGTAGTTTACTAGAAGACCTTGAGAAACTGAATCTAGAGTTCAAATAGAAGACTTATCACATAGAAACGATGACATTCTATTCATTCTTTTTACAGAAATATTTGTAATGTACTCAGTGCTGTTTTGTTTAAACTACACTTCGGCGGCCTGCTTGAATATCGGGCCTACCTGTTTCTGCCATCTAATTATCCCAATAAGTTTTTTTTTTATTTTGTTTTGGTCAAATAGAAAAACTATATAGCAAATCGTTACTTTGCAAAATATTATTCCATCATATCAAACCGGACTGTTGTTGCTGCAATTATCAGTCCATTGTCTCACATTTCATTGTTCATGCTTTTTCTTAAAAATTGCACTGTGTTCTCGCTCTTCTTTCCTTGATCTTCCCCCATCTTCTGCTGCCAGACATTACGTTCCTGACTCGTGTCATATACTACTTACATCAATATAAGTAGCACGCACCACAGTATCACTACGTGACTTCAAAATTTATCGTCAGGATCGATCAAACAATAAAAAGAGGTGTGGCGGCGGTGTAGCTACGTTTGTAAACGTGAACTGGTGTCGACCTTCGTTTGCGTGTTTCAAGTTTTAAAATGACTTTATCGACTGTCTAACTCTAAGATGTTGTCCAAAACATCTGAATAAATGCAAATATGTTTATGTTACCAATATCCACTTGACTCCAGACTCCACATCATCTGCGCTATCTGTCTTCGCTGACGAATTCGCTGAGTTCGCTGTTACTGCTTTCAGTGATTCACTTTGAGTTATATGTGGTGATTTCAATTCATGTGACTGTAGCTTCCTTACGTCACTAGGTCACCAAAATGTAGTAGATTTTCCTGCTCGTTTGGATGCTCATTTAAACTTCGTTTTCATTAATGATGTGGGTATATATGTGACTCGTGAATATGCTCCATTGTCTAGCTCGGATCACTGTATAATACGTGTTCTAATTAAAGTATGTGGAAAGCATGGAAAGAGTACACTCTTACATCAAACCAAGAAAGTTAATATAGGAAGTACTCAAAAGAAAATATCCGAAGTCTGAAAACATGTTTCATACGACTAACTGGGAATTATTTACAGATGACTCACTGGAAATCACTACTGATGTTATCACTTGTTACCTTAAATTCTGTTTTGATATTTGTTGTCCCACTGAAACCATTTTTGTAAGTTTTGATCGACTTACATATTAACAACTAAAACGACTACTG